TGGTCGGAAGGGAGGGAGCGGAGGGAAGTGGAGCGGGCCAATCGGCAACCAGTTGCGTCAGAGCGGCGATGTGAGAAAATTTCCAGCACAAGCCCAAATAAGCAAAGGTAAATGGCAAATGGGTGAAATGCTCAAGAAAATGAAGCCAACGAGCGGCAGCGCCAAAAAGCAGAGACAGTGAAACGAACGAAATGGCCATAAACTTAAGCCAAAATGCTCCCTCTGAGGGGGTGGGGTGGGGGGTTTTATCCCAGGAGGGGGTGGGAGGACGGGCGGGGACCTAACCAACCAGTTCGGCAACGCGAACTCCGAACTTAATCGAAACATCAAAGGAAGAAAGCCAGCCAGAGCCACAACAACAACTAGCCAACAACCAGAAACTTATTAAAAACAACAAGTGCAGCTTGCTTAGCGAGTTGGTCAGAACGTCGGCGAAGGGGGAGGAGGGGAGAGACACGGAGGGTATCTGTGCTGCCAAGTTGGCTACCTCGCCAGATCTGGATTGTTTAAGGAACTAAAAGGTGTGTCGGCGAAATGTCGAACTTTGTACATAGGCATTTAAGAAATGTTATTATTATATCAGAGCTAAAATAGAAAAATAAATTAAAACGTGTCATAAATACTAATGTAATGTATTTTCTTAGCTTTTTATTCCCCTATAGTATTATATTTAGCATTGCTAAGATTGTAGAAATTCAGAAGTAGTCGAGTGAAAAAACTGTCGTTTTTACTTAATTGGAACTTCTTTAAATTACATATTTTTATTTGCACTTTGATCAAAACTTTCACAAATATAAAACAGATTTAGATGAGTTGAAAACGATTCCGATCTGGCTTCAGCCGGCTCTAAAGACTTGGCTGCACTGAGGGGCATTCGTGCTGTTTGTGCAGTGGCAGCACGTCCCAGCCGACATCGACAAGCTGCACTGAGCGAAAATATCAGTTAGAGGGGCGGCGCTGGAAGGGGAGCACTCAAAATGGGCACTTTCGGTCGCAATAACCACGACATTTACGATTATTTTACGGCCACTAAAAATCAAAAGTGTAATTTACGGAACCAAACCAAACTGAACCGGGACGAACAATGAGACGGAGACAGGGACAGCAACACGAGCACAGAGCAGAGAAAGAGACGGCAACTGTCGACCGAGGAGCGATGGAACCGTTCCAGTATCGGTGTTGCATCAGCTTAGATGAAGTCGAGTCCACGGATATAGGGAGCATGATTTCGGGTGAGCGAAGGTGGTGAAGGGGTCAGGGTGGAGTGGGTGGTGCTCGGTGGCATGATGGGGAGTGAGAGGCGCAAAACAAAGGCGCTTCGTAGATTTTTCCTGAATAGGGAATGTGGCAGATACATTTTAAACATTTACTTATATTGTTTTTGCTTCTTCTTTCGATATTCGGTGCTTACTGTTTAAGTTGGTTTCAAAAACTGAAGTTAATGATATAGCGTGATATATTTTAAAATAGTTTAAGGATTATTATAGTAATCTTTCAAAGGAAAAACCTAATGAATCTTATACTCTACCCCTCCATTCTTGCGTTTATAAAGGGGTAATTTATTAATAAAAAGAACATACGTGAGGCTTAGAAAATGTTTAAGTTTACCTTACAGTTGGAACTTGAGTGGCAAAGATTAAATAGTTTAGTTTAATTGGCATTAGGGTCAAATTCTTTAAAAAATCAGTTTTTATTGGATTTTCACTTCACTTTGCCGATTCTGGGAGCCCTGATGATGGGTCGAGTTTCAAATGATGGGTGCAGGAGATGGGAAGATATGCTCCAAGGAAACCAGTTGGTGCCCGGCTGGATGGACATTGCCGGCAGCCAAATGAAAAGCAGCCGCTGCCTCCTTGTGTTCCTTTCTCTGCACTTGCTGGCTGTCTCTGTTATGGCTTGGATCTTTCTTTATTTTTCCTTATTTTTCTGGCCATCACATGTGCAACTCGAAGCCAACAACTCCAGTTTGCAGACCCCTCCGCCCACCTCCCCTGATTGCGATTGGTGTTCTGCTTTAGCCGTTTTAGCGGATGGCAATGGCTGGGTGCTGCGAATGTCGAAAGCGCATCGCGTTGAAAGATGATTTTCATGTTTTCCCCCCTCGGCGTGTCCAGTGCTCCACCAGTTTTGAGCTGGAATCGTGGCCCTAACGATGCTCAAAGTGATTTTGTTGTCTTAACCGCATTTACTGACATCTTGATGCTTTGATTGCCCCGATTTTGAATGGAATCGTTTGCACTGCAACACCCGCACTTGGCTTTATGCCCCATTGCCATTATCGTCTCTGGCAAGTCGGGGAAATTGAATTGAAGTCTTTGATTGGCAATATGCTCCGTTGACCCCTAAACAAGTTGCCCGTCGATCGTAAGCCGGAGCGGAAAATGGTCAAAGAGGCAATTTCAAGAAAACACTGGAATGTCTAATTTGAAAGTGAACAATTTGCTTTTAAAATTAAATATTGTTTGTTGGAAGGAAAGTGCTTGGGCTTGTATTCTTTAGGAAATTCAAGGTAAATTGGCTGCAAAATATATTATTATAAAATAAATAATGGAAAACATTATTTATGGACTTGTTTAAAGGGTGAAGAATTATTACGAAAGTAATATTGACCTGCTGTAAAAGATGTCCTACGGTGTAATTTAAAAACAATTGAATTCAAATTTATATTAGTTTAATAAGAATAGACTAAGCCAACTTATACAAATGGGCACTCGTTTTGTATCGATTATTATTTTCTAGATTATGTTGAGGCAATTTCCACCAAATCATCCGGCGGAAAAGTTTTGTTTTTTCGTGATCAAAAAAGGACAAAAACAATCTAACAAGGCAATTTTCTTATCAACTTTTTAAATCTTAACATTTTATATAACATATTTATGTTACGTAACATAGAACAACTTCAAAGGAGTAACAGTGGCTCTAAAACTGGACGGGTAAGCTGACTCTCAAACTATGGAAACCGAATGCATAGATGGCGCATGCGACTCAGTGCCGCCATCTGACGTAAGAAACCTGCATCTCCGACCTATTTTCCGTTAGCATTCAAACGAAGTTATTTCTTGTAGCTGTGTAGCTAAATATTCCTCCGATTCTTTCTGATTTTAAATCTTTTCACTGATATAATTTGGAAATATTTTAATTTTTTTCTGTCTGCTAGCCTCTGCTTTAGTTTGGTTCTTGGTCTTTTTGTCAGAAATCGCTCATCCGCCCTTCAAGCGACGTCTGCGCCGGAGCAAGTCGAAACTGGAAATGTGGCGCGGTGGTTGAACGAGCCAGAAAAAATTCAGCATTTCATCACCACCACCAGCAAGAAAATGGGCTTGGCCTCTTCGTTTGAGTGAGTATTTCGAGGCACTCATTCTCCACGATTCTTCAGGTTCCTCTCACCATTTTTTTTATATCCCGTCGGCGCAAAATGTAAGAAATGCCACCAAATTTTCAATTAATTTTTACTAAATATTTCTTTACTTAACATAAAAGAGTTTTGGCTTTCAAATTTTCATAAAAGATATTTTTTAATTTCTACGTTAATGAAAGCTGTTAAATTTGTTATAATGTATTTTCTTTGAATGGTAATTGTAAATAGTGCAGCACATTAACAACAAATAAGCTGACATGATTTTTAATGAATTAAGTTTGTCATGACAGCTAACGTTCAATTTTGAACCAATTTATCAAAGAGAACATTACATATTGGAATGTTTTACAAATGCAAAGAAATAAAGGTGATTTAATATTTTTTTACTTTTTAATATTGTCGTTTAATATTCAATCTAACTAACTCACGACCTTACGGTGATATCAACTTGGTAGTTATGTGATCAATAAAACAAATAAATGCCGTCAATTCAAATTATTCAATAGTATTTGGCAGATGTTGCGCTCGAGTATCCATCACACTCGTTGCCTTCGTCGTGTTGCAACTTCACTTTCAGGTTTGCGGCACAACTTAATTGAATTCATAGAGCGTGTTGGCACACCCGTACGGTGAACACCGGGATATGGGAACGGTAGCCGCTTGACGAGTTCATAAAATGTGATGTATGAGGAGTTGGCCATGGACATCCTCTTCACGTTGGCTAGGAAAACGTTTTATTCGAATTTAATTCAAAGTGTTTCAAATTGGCCCGGGCATTGATAATTTCGCACGAATAAAGTCGTCACCGGGAATGGACCGTGGAGTAATTTCATTTCACGCAGCCTCAAATGAAGTGCGCAATTCTGGGGGAAAGCATGGCTCAACCTTGCCACCATCGAAGTTGGTCCATTGTGCCCCGAGCCATAGTTGAATCAGGTTCCAGTACAAATTTGTACAATTTCATATTATATATATTTACCCAGCACCACAAAACGACGCCAGACAATGGAAACTGCTTAAAGATAGCTGGCGGGGCACAAAGCACCCCAGGAGCGTCTCGTGGTGATTATGGACTCGGGTTGAAAGCCGGGTAAAAAAGGGCAGATAAGTTATTGTTGCAACCCCTGCAAGGGATCCGTAAAAATAGGACAAGATATATATACACTCGCACACACATTCATCTGCCCGGAGGGTGCGTCGTAAAAATGAGTTACGAGTCCTGCCATTTTAAATTAAAATAGCAGGCAGCCTCCATTGTGCATGCAAGATGGTCGAGGATGGTCGCAAAGGAAAAAGGTCAAAGGCCATTGAATTCCACCCTGCAAACCCAATCCAGCGGACAAAATGGTCATGTTGACAGAAGTAAATCTCTTGAATTATCGCATTAGATGCCGCATTCTCACAGATAGATTCCCGGCCCGATGAAGCCATATCATAAATAATCAGGATCGGAACGTCGCTGGGGCATTATAAAGGATTTTCGGGCAGCCCTGTTGATTTAAGCATTCTTCCTGTGTTTGCTTTGCATTTGAAAGGGTTCCAGATCTTGGCCACCCCGTTTTCAAACTAAAAGTGAATTTTCAATATATTAATATTCATTTCAAGGAAATTTCCTTCTATTGAATTAAAAAAGCTCCAGGTATATGTTTATTTGCTAAGCTCTTATATTTTTGTTTTGGCTGATATTTTTATGCTGTCCTCATAACATTATATTACTGGAAGAATCGAGTTTGTTTGGAAATACCTTCAGATTTAAGGAAACAATTTCCTAAAACTTGACCCACTTGTAGGAAATTGTTCCCAAAAGTTTTAGTTTAATTTTAAGTTTTGCAGCAATAGCTTTGCATTTCTTGCGGAACCGTTCGAATCAAATGAATCTTCAGTAGGACTAGAGTTTGGCCTATTGTACCACTGTAATGGTGAAGTACTCCTCGGGGGCCACCAGATACTCGAACTTGCGAGTGGCCAGGCGCATGAAGCAGAGTTTGTTGGACGGGTCAATGTCCCGGACGACACTTTGGCAGGTGCTCACCAGGAGTCCATTTAAGTGCTTCAGGATCGCCTGGGCACTTGTGTTATCGAAGGACGTTTCGGCCACCGCATTGGCCATGTTATCGGACACCACATACCCTATAGTATGTTCCGATAGAATGCGATCCACGATCGTTCCATTCTGGTGAATCACCTTCTCCAGAATCCGATTCATTATTTCAAAAGTAAACTAATAAGTGTTCCGTGCTTTGCGACTGGGAGTGGGCTGACTTCTCTGTTGAATTTGTAGGACAGTAATGAATGTTTTTGAGGCGATAGGTTCAAATCCAGACGTTTGGCTTGACTTTCAAGGCTCAGCACTCTTTTAAACTATCATCGTTCTACATTTTGTAACAAATGGGCTCTTGACTTTCCAGCACTCACTGAGCTTTTGATACGTATACTTGCATTTTGAATAATACAGAATTCATGCTGGCTTCCTAATTTTCATTTCCATTACAGTTTATGAGCACATCAATTAGGTCCCGTATAAAAGAGAAAATAACCCGCCAATTTTTATTTACCTCCTTTTGAATTAAGCCTCCATGTTCGATGACTTTAGATCGGATTTATAATTACAGAACGAGCCTATTCCTATCGCGTTGATTAAATAAGTGTTGGCTGTATCGCAACAGATGGCAGTGGGGTCGAATAAATTAAACTTATCGGAGTTCTCTTATCTCGCTGCCGCCCTCGATCCCCACTCCTGGAATCCCCAATGCCATTGAACTTGCCCTCCAATTGGATCGGAACACTCGACGAGGTCAGTTCGAATTACTGCACACAAATACTGATACTCGTATACCCGCCCAAGTTCAAGTGGTCGCGTGGCTTCCACGAGTTCCTCCTCCCGCAGGCAACCTCATCATCGAGCCGTTTTCATTTAATTTTCATGCACATTTAATGGCGTCTGTTATTGGCTTTTAACGAGATTTCCTCTCCACCCGCCGTTGTATTTTTAGGTATCCGTATAATTGACTTTTTGACTTTGAACCGCTCTGTCGCAGGTCGTTGACTCGCCGCCGACTACTTAAACTAATTCCAATTGCTGGCTTAGCCTAAAGCCCACTTAAAGCCCTATTCGACGGCCATAAATCAGTGCTAACAGTGCTGCAATACTGAGTTCTGGCGGGTGTTTAGTAGTTACTACAACACTCATCAGGGCCACGCTCATCTGCATTCAGGGCCCCAGTCTGCCCATCTCCTCGGGAAGAAGTGCTTGTCGGACAAGTCCAGAGAGTGCATGTGGGTGGCCGGGTACATCTCCATATCCCCACATCCCCGGATCGACCCAAAATGGCCACTCGAGCGCCCACAACGGCCATAAAACACTTTTGGACATGCTGTTGGCCCAGCAAACAACTCTCAACTCTGGTCCGCTCTTTTCCCTCTGAGCTGGTCAATAAAATGTGCATAAATCCGGATGCCGTTCAACGCAAACCGAATCTGGCCGTTTCTCGCCGTCCAGGAGAAGCCTTTGCATTTAACGGGTCAACCTCAAAGTACAGTGGGCTGTCTTATTTATTCGCCAGGCTTACAACTCGCGATTGTGACTTGTTCTGACATATCTCAATTATTTCAGCAGTGAAGTTGATGCTTTAAAAAATGTATGGTTACAGTACATAGACTATTGTCACAAGCATTGGCCATATACGATGCATTTATCATAATTGTCTAAGCTGTGAGCTTTTCCCCATATGCTTGCAAAGAATTAAATATTGAAAACAGTTTTTCCCCAAATCCACTCCCCCTTAGTCATGATTAATGGCCGCCAAATGCAAAACGAGAGATTTGTGGCCCGGAAAATGAATTGTGTCCAAGTTGGGCCTGGTGCCATTTCAAACCATGCAAAATGCATGCTCATAAATCCCCTGAGCCCAAGTCGGACTATTTCACTATCTGTGGGGCCGATTTGGGCTGTGGGTTTTGGCCCCTGGGCGGGATTAGGCGGCAAACGCCTATCCGAAAGCCAGATACTGGCGCAATGCCGGCGCCATAAGTCATTTCATTAGATGACTATCGCTGTTTGGGCATAATTCATCCACCAATGGACGATACTCTCCCAACAGCCGCGAATCGCGATGAGGTCAAAAGGTCGGGCGGTACCAAAAACGATAAATAACACCCAAAGAGAATGAAACTTACGAAATGGAAAATTCCTTCGTTAATTAGAAAAACCAGCAAACCAACTGCCAAGCCGAAATCAACAAAAAACTCACAAGGACCCAAATACAGGACATACGGGGACAATTTGAAAGCACTTTCTCTGCCCTCGCTCCCGAAAATGCAAATGAGCTGCTCGAGCTGGAACTCAGGCCTTTTTAGAGTCCGGTCATTGGCCGGCGGTCAGTTCGGTCAGTTCGGTCAGTTCTGGAACGGTGTATCTGGTGTATCTGGGTATCTGGTTTTTTGCCCTCTGCTTTGGCCCCTTTCATTTGTGCCACTCGAGCGGCGAAAGGGACACGTCGCACACACATGGCACAAATTGGCCGAGGGCTTGCCTTGTGTCCGACTGGCCCAAATGTATCCTTCGGCCACCCTTTCCTTCACAGGCCCACTGACACAATTCCTCGGCTCGCATATCACCAGCATCTGAAGCCCAGTTTTGATTACGGACTCCGAAGCCCCCATAAATAATGTACAACACACATATAATACATGGTACATGTGGACTCACCTCAACGCGTTCTGAATTTTAAACCAGCCCAAAATGGAGAACTGTCCTCTGAGTTGTGTATTAGTTGGTATCCTGGAGTGGTAATTGGGCGGCAGGACAATTAACTTGCTGTGTGAGTGCTCTGTAATTGAAAATAAAATGGAAAGTGTTAAATGGGCTCGGGAGTAGCTTAATGAACTTAATCTAAGTGAACCAAAGTCACATTCCATAAGTATATTTATGTGTGGTTCAGAAAACATTCATTATGTTTTAACAGAAACTACTGCTATTCAAGATTCATTTATATTTATGTATTATAAAAACAGCAAACCACTCACAAAGTTAATATTAAACAAGGGATTACCCATTAACACATGATTGCGAAATGTTTGACGACAAATGGTCGAATCGATTCATTTGAGATGTGCAGAGAACAATAAAACTGTGAACTTATTGCAGCCCCAAATTCGTAATCCCACTGATAAATGGCATTATTTGCTTTTCGAATTTATGTTATGGACTTCTAAATAACAACCAATTTAAGGTATTTATCTTTAAGAAGCGCAATTTCGTATGCTGATTCCCGCGGCAGTTGGCTCGCTAATTTATGAAAGCGGCAGACATGGCCACAACCGATCTGGTTTCGACCAACAGAATCGAAAAAATACTCCCTGGCCGAACAATGCAAATTTTTATTAGCCATGAAGTCGGCCATAAAAGCCATTTCAAACCGCTCGAAATTGTTGTCCTCCACTCGAGTACAAATTGTTAGAAGAGGTGCAAAACGGCGCGATTTAATATATCTGCCCGACTAATTTTAATAACTTCATGAGACTCGTTTTCAGCGCAAATAAATTTAGAATTTAATAAAAAACGAACAGCGTATTGAATATCAAGTTTCAGCAATCTTAGAAGTCGAGGCGAAAACGCTTGCCAAAACAAAGGAATTGAATTCATTTAATTTTATGATCCCAAAAAGGTGGGAGATGCTGGAAAAAATTACTTTGTGCCACCAACAAAGGCGCACACACACACACACAGACAAAGTCCATTGAAAAGATAAATTTCTTAATTTAAATTCAGAGTCAGAGTGAATTGAGTTTTGTTCGTTTCCACCCTCAAACGATTTTCATTTCCGTTACAAATGCTTTTCAATTTCGCCCGAACCAAATTCAATTTTCAAACGTTTTATTTCGACAACGTTTTGATTTAGTCGCGCCCGCTTTGAATATTTTACGAATTGGTCGCTTCTTCTGAATCTGTATCCGAATCGAAATTGGGTTTGAGCCACCATTTGCTGGCTTTGTGCGCGTGTGTAACTATGGAATATTTATTATTTAAATTTTTCGACAGCGAGTCGGTGGCCCTAAATCATGCGACAGGCTCATTCAAAAACAAGCAACTCTCGCGCCCAAAACACTCGCATATATTCGTAACTTGTGTTGTTTTTTCGACGCATGATTTAGGTGCAGTCATAAATTCAATTTTAAGCTTTTTGGTATTTCATTTCGGTCTGGTCGGGAATCTGGTTTGGGGCTCCGACTTTGGGGATACGGGTCCACACTGGGGATTGGGGATTGGGGCTGGGTCTCGGCTCTCGGCCCTCGGGTCCGAGGCCAAGATAAACACTTGACAACGTGCTAAGGCCAGCACTGGCAACGCGATAAGCGCATAAATATAGCCCCCCGTAATAAATTCAGCGTCACATTTGACGCCGCGCCTCGCATCTGTGGACCAATGGACGCCACTTGGGGCTTCCGGGGGTTTCCGGGGGCACCAGTGACACCAGTGACACTTGGTCCTACAGAACCACTCTCGACCTCTTGGCCTAACTGTACCATGCATCATCCGTGTCACTTTGCAGGCAGCATTAAGCCCTTCTCCTTCTTTTCAAGAAAACTTCTTGCGACTTTTATGTGGCATGTTAGGATGCTTACTTTTAGGGCAATATCGTAGATCGTAGTTAATGTGGTAATATATAACGGTTTTAAATGAATTCTGTAAACAACAATTAAAAAAAGAAATATTGATGTGAGTAAGGCAACTGAAGTGTATATAAGTGTACCCATTACAGGATATTACAAATCGAAATAAAATGGAAACATAGTTTGATCCTAGGATTGATTCTCAGAAAAAACTACGCTCAAATTTCTTTCAGTTGGACCGTAAGAGGTCCTCCAGCTGGTCAACCGTTGTGCGAGTGCTTTTACGATGCCATAATTGCCCCGCAGGACTACGCGAAAAATATGGCATCTGCGTTGATGGAACAAAGGACGGCGAGGAAGAGAAAGGAAAGGATCGGATCCTGCAGCTAGCTATTCACGGCAATCAAACAGCGCGGCACACGCGGCGAAAGGATGCAAGGCAGTGTGAGAGTGCAGAGTCCATTAAAAGGACATTCCACGCCGGCGATCCACATGTGTCCGGTCGAAAGGACGTGTCGTGCCAAAGGGACACCTCGGCACCTTGTTTGTTTTCGCTCCGCCGTACGTCTCATATTTTCTTTTTTATTTTTAATTTTTGTAAATTGAAAATTGTGTGCGGATGCGGATGCAGTATTGCGTGGCAATTACACAAGCCCTCTCCCAGAGTCATAAATTCAGTCCTTTGCAGGGTAAAGCAAAAGGAGTAGCTTGCTACGGGGGGTCCGTGCCTCCATTCGAG